TTCAGACTTGATTTTCCCTAAAGAAAAATGTATAAACCCCTACAGAAATGTCTGTTACTTATAATACACATAATAATTCAAATGTCCTGTTGCTGCAGGATTATTTTCCTGCTGTAGCAAACTGGCTCTAATTAAGATCCTACATCTGTACATGGTGACAGGTAACTGTGAAGAGGTGGGCCATTCTCCAGAAGTTTCACCTACTAAACCCTGAGGGATGTCAAACAAAGCACTACTAGCAAGAGCCACAAGCTCCCTGCCAAGGTAAGGTAGGCCGTGCCAGAGTACTACAACAATGAGAGCAAATATTGTGAAAAAATCTATCCAACACTGCATTTCAGCTCCAAAAACACACGCCACTTTCCATTACTGAACTAAATAGGGCAAGCATCACACTTGTGATGAGCAGAATAGGTTAAAAACCGCAAAGACATGTCATTGTCAAACTTCTCATTTTTATAAAAGACAAACACACAAAACAGTGAGTAAAATAAAGGCTTTTGTCCCCATCTAAACAAACGGTGCAGGTAAGGTAATATGGTTGGCCTCTACCCAGTGGAAGGGCACAGAGGGGCCAGGTGAAACTCACACCAGGGACGTGTCAAATGCTGTGTTTAAGATGAGTTTCAGTTGGCCATCAGGGAGGGTAATCCAATAGTTGACCTGAAAAGCCCTGCAGCCGCTACAAGTGAAATTCCAGCCATAATTCTGCCACAGCGAGACATAAAAGCAATTAGTTAGAGCCATGAATAGCAATAGGCATACATATAGAATCGCAATACATATTGTATCAGCACCTAAGTGACGTGATAATATCGTATCGTGAGGTCTCTGGCAATTCCCAGCGCTACATGTAGGGCTAATAGCTGAATTGAAATCACGTAGCCTACCTTACACCGTCACAACAGCTACCATATTGTTACCCCACCACTGTCCTCCCCTCAACGCTTTCCCTCCACTTCCCATTCGCTCTACATCCCCACACCCTCCATGTGAGAATGACATCATAGCTGCAGCAGCCTCCTGAGGGGCTTGGCTGCTCCTCATCAGACAGGGCCCTGGGCAGAGCCCTGGGAGCAGCCAGGCAGCCAGTCAATTCCAGCCCGCATGGAAAGTGAGTGACAGGGAAGGCCGGTCCTCAGTCAGGCCAACTCAACCATCTCCACGAAAAAACGTGTTTCTTTTTACACGTCTCTTTTTCACATTGTAGGTGTAATGAGTCAGGCCCAATGACTCAGTATTTTAAAAGGCAAAGAAGCAGTTTAATGAAAGAAAATAAAGATCAGCTAATCAAATCACATTTTATTTGCCACATGTGTAACCAACAATGCAGTTAAGAAAATAAAAAATAAACAAAATAAAAAAGTACAACAAATAAACAAAAACTAAAAAAGTGTTAAGTAAAAAAGAGAAGTCAAAAATAAAAATAGCAAATAATTAATTAGCTAATGCTATGTGCCCAGTTCTTGATATAACGATGATTGTTCTCATCTTCGAGACAAATCCACCCACTACTCCTCAATAACGGCAAGTGCATAGTGGAGACGTACAACCTTCCTTCCTGCTGTAGGCTAGTGTCTTTGTTGATTTTAGCATGACTATTGCTTCTATTAACAGTTAGCACCCCCAACTGGTCGAGAAGGTGTACTATCACTTCAATAACAGTACTTGGACTGTAGCTTCTATATGAGTGGCATCTACATGCCATGGGAGTGATTTGTATAGGCCTAGGCATAACTGTTATATTTTGGAATAGCAAAAAGTGGTCATGTTATTGTTTAGAATGACCTTGCATTTTGTGATGGGATTAATGCATTGGCTACAGTTAATACTGACTCATGGTTCATCTGACTAAAATAAAAAACACAACATGAGTCCCTTTGTCATGTTGCAAGTGTTCAAGATGGCAAAGGATGACATTTTTTACTAGTCTATATTGTCAGGCTCTACTCTGTATGGGAAATGACTAGGCCTCTACCACATGACATGGCTGTAGGAAGTTATGCCACATTTCACCTCATTGACAGTTCTTTTAGAAGACAAAAATAGTATAGAACAGCACATACTGTCCATTATAACTCTGGCTTTGGCAAAAGTAGCTAGCTAGATAAATGTAAACATTTTGGCCTACCAAATTTTATGCCACCACTGCAGTACACACTGAAAATGTGTTAGCTGGCTAGCAAGCTAGTTTACTGCATTCACCAGAAGGATGGAGAAGAAAACAGCAACGACCTTGTTTAAAAGCACTTCCATTTAACTAGCAAACTAGCTACTACTAAATAGTTTTGTGGGTTTTAAAGTTCAAAAATTGTAACAACGTTGTGTGCAATAAAATTATATGTTTAATACATACTCAGTGATAAACAAACAGGTACCTATGCAGGATAAGAATGCTAACTAGGTACCTAATGCCAGAGTAATTTGGAAATGGCTAGTAGTAACTTGATAATGCCACAGCTATTGTTGGTCATTAGCATGTTAACGTTAAATCAATTGCTAATTAGTTAAGGCAAATAAGTATACGCTAGCTAACCAGGTAGCCTACATGTATTGTGGGTTAGCTACCTAATAACTTTATTAGCTAGCAATAGCATTGTTACTGACATGCAACTTTGCTTGCTAGCTTTTCCAAACAGCTAGCTACCTTGCTAGTGATGGAGTTGAGGCTAGTACTAAGCTAGCTTATCCCATCGCTCCAAAACACTAGCTACTAGGCCTACCTATCCTATGTTACTCCCACGTATCCCCGGTGTTTTCTTGCGCGCTTTCTTTACGTTTTTAGAACATCTCTCCAGCTATTGCCAAACTTACCTCCCCCGCGTTGGTGGTGGTAGTGCTGGCTGTGGATGCAGCGCTTGGGGTAGGAGAGCGCTTCAAAGTAACCAGAGCCATGACTGGGAGAATCTGCACAGGCCGGTGTAGCCTGCCCAGGCAGAGAATGGCTTTATTTCGGGTGAAGAACCTGGGGAAGTTGCTGCTTGATGTCAACGTCTATAGCGGTCGAAGCAGAGAATTTCATCGTCGTTACATCTCCATCGTCCTAAAATCTGGCAGCCAGTGCCTCAGGTGTTGCTTTTGAATGTTCTCTAATACAAATAAATTAATGTAATATTAAGAACGTGCAGTGCAGACACATATCGTTCATCATGCTGCGGATTTCACACTAGCTAGCCTCGGTAGCCTGCACAAAATCCGCTTCAACCATGCGAGAGGATGTAGGGATGCGAGCGTATATCACAATGCATTGCCAGCCAACCAGACAGCTAGCGCTGCTGTCTGAGTGTGTTGATGCTGAATTCAAACGTTCAGTGGTCTGGTCCAATGGATGTTAGGCTACTATCAGAATCTGTCTTCCTGTTTAAACAGTGACCGTATTTAACTTAGCCTGTCGGTAAAAAAAAAAAAAAAAAACGTTATTTCCCAAAAGTGACATGCTTTCCCACGCGTTTTACTGGGACTTTCGCGGGAGATTTGCGTGATAATTCGAAAGGAATTTTTGCCGCGAATCTTCATCTCAAAATTAGGATCAGTGCGCGGATTCGATTATGCTGAACTGCGGGGCAGCGGGCTAAGGCCAGTCACGTCATCGGGCGAAAGTGGGGTAGAGGGGCACCCTTCCTAAATCGAACAGTAACTGTACCGCTCGGTCATTTTGTCGACATCAAAGATATATGTATATACCTTTGTTAGAAAGAATACTATATGTCCCTTGACTTAGTGATGCTGAATGTAAAAAATTGCTCAACATACCCCTCTCTCCCCTACAGGCCTTATTGGTTCAAGTACGGTGAAAGTTTTTTATGTAACCTAGTAGAAGTATATGGCTTTTTTATTCAATTAGTTTTAACAAAATATTTGTCGACAGCATTCATTGCCAGTCAAGGCTACTAGGGTGGGATATTTTTATATTCAAGCCTTTATCTGCAACGTAGACCCTAGACGACTTCTGTAGTTTGGACTGACCATGTGACGCTATATTTGGAGGCGGGTTGTCAACTAGAGGACAAGGCAACTTCAAAGGTAAATCCAGTTTTTCTGCCGTCTACATTTTTATAATGATTTCGAGTTTAATTTCACATCTCTTGAATTATTTCTTAATCATCTTTTCTTACTAAACATTCTGCATCCAACCAATGAATGATCGCCATTTCGAGAATGTTTCCATTTCCAAGTTGCAACAACGCCATCAAATCTCGAGCAAAATAGATACAGTAGTAGCCTACTTCGCACTGTTGCAATGTTTCTAACCTGCAAGTAGCTTACTTATTATATACCAATCTCTACAGGCTATATTGTTACTTTTTGAGTTGCCAATGTTGTTTTCAGAAGGACTTGTCAAAGTATGGACAGGTGCAGGGTGCAGCAATAAAGCTAATGAACTTGATTAAATTGCAACTATTATGTTCAAATCACTGAGGGTAGCCTATAGTCTGTAATGGTGAAGATTGATTCATTGTCACTGTTTATAGTCTATTTGTGGAATAAATAAATACAATAGTTGTTCAGTCAATGTAATGCAACTACACAAACCCTCAACCCCATTTTACATTTTATTCATTTAGCAGACGCTCTTATCCAGAGCGACTTACAGTTAGTGCATACATTTTCATACTGGCCCCCCGTTGCAAGCGCCATGCTCTACCAACTGAGCTACACGGGGCTACACCCTGATCTGAATGTGTGTAATGTTATGCATAATGTTTCTTGTTCAGTTTTTTGTTTTTGTTTTGATATATATTTATATTCAGGTTTTTTCAGTTTTTCACAATTTCACGTTACTTCATACAGTTAGATGGGTCAGAGGGTCAGGTACACTCAAGGACATGTAAATGTTTACATTGTTCAAAGTTATATGGAATGTCAGCAGATTCTGAGCAGAACCAAGGTCACAAAGAATGGACACAAATCAGATACAAAAATAAATAATAATAATAATAATAATAATAATAATAACAAAAGCAGAAACAACAGTCAACTATTGTGTTTGTTATCTCCAGACATGCGTGTGGCAGTGATCGGAGCTGGGGTCAGTGGCCTGTCCACGGCTCAAAGTATCTATGAGCAGTACCACTCTACAGTCAGTCCACTGACCATTGAGGTGTATGCAGATCGCTTCACCCCACTGACCACCAGCGATGGGGCTGCAGGATTCTGGCAGCCATACCTCTACGACAAGGGCAATGTCCAGGAGACGTGAGAGGGCTTTCTGCTTGGCTCTATGAATACCAGTGGAGGCTGCTGAGGGTAGAACGGCTCATACTAATGGCCGGAATGGAGCAAATGGAATGGGATCAAACACCTGGAAACCATGTGTTTGATATATTTGATACCATTCCACTGATTCCGCTCCAGTCATTACCACGAGCCCGTTTTCCCCAATTAAGGTGCCACCAACATCTTGTGATGACTACATTTTGTGCATGCCTGTAGTCAGTGAATCAATAGAATGCCTTATAAGTGAATGCTTACACTGTATCACTCTGTATGTGTTCTTTTGCAGTAAATGGTGTAAGGAGACGTTTGACTACCTGCTGAGCTTCCTGAGCTCCCCAGACTCTATCAAAATGGGAATTTTCCTCCAGTCTGGCTATAACCTTTGCAGTGAGCCTGCACCAGTGAGTATTAGTGTATCTACAGCTAAACAGCATAGATTCACCCTCAGATAACAGTACACCATGTTCACTGGCCCATACCTCATCACTCACATGGAGGCAGGGTCTAGCAGTTGAACATTTTACTTCTGCTTCTGTATAAGCCTTTTGCTGAAGTAGATTAACTTGAGCCCAAATTCCTGTTCCACCATCTGTGTCATTACAGCGTAGCAATGGTCTATCGTAGCAGTGGCTTCACTCAGTTTGTATTTTCTGAATAGAGTCTGAATACACTTAGCCCATCTGAATAGTCTACTGTTCAGCATTAAAAAGACAGGTCCATGATATAATTAGAAGACATTGCCACACTGTATGCTCTCTCTGTCACAAGGCTAAAGGATTAATGAAGCCTCTGCATTACAACCGTAAACCAGCACAGGCATGGAAGGTAATGAAAATAAATGAGTAACTAATAACTATATTCACTCTCTTTTATTGTAGGATCCCTCTTTTAAAGATAGTGTGCTGGGCTTCAGACAGCTTACTGAGCGAGAGCTGGAGCTGTTTCCTGGATACTGGTACTTTGTTGGGACACATTTGCTATGTTGTTGTTGCATTAGTCACGTTGGCTGTTGTCATTTGTCCACAGGAGTCATGCAACCCTATACAACTGATGACTTTAGAATGAGTCTTGTCATGCAGCATGTACCCCTATCAGTTGTCATTGTTTTTGACACTCACTGTCATTCTCCCCTTGTTTATGTTGGGGGGCCTTTTAGCTATGGGTGGTTCAACACTGCTCTCATGGTGGAGGGAAAAAGTTACTTGCCTTGGCTGATGGACTGGTGAGCGATTTACTTATCTTATCAGTGATATCCCAAAAAGTGTTGATAGTTCACACACAGGGCGATATGATTAGGCGTTTCCATGTCGCAAGGTAACTAACTATATTTGACATCAATCTATGACCAGATTAGTTCATTACAAAATATAACATTTTAAAGCTGTTGGATTTTTACAAATGGTCAAGCATGATTTGTTTGAGAATAACTTTATATTGGCACAGCTGTGGGATAAACTGGGTTTATCTAGTGGGAAGGGGAAGCAACAGATAATGTGTTATTTATATCTTATGGTGGTTTCATCATCTATCAAGGTCAATATTACGTTTTAGCACCCAACCTCACATCATAAAAATAGGGGAAGTTTGGGTTCCCTGTATTACTTCATTTTCTATATACCTTTATCTGATGTTTCTAGGTTACAGAAGAGAGGTGTGAAATTTTACCAGAGGAAGATAGAGTCCTTCAAAGTGGTGAGAGTTCTAAATGAATATAATGAACAGTGCAAGTTTAGAATGTGCTAAGACTCCCACCACACAAGGAGCATAAAGACAGAAGGTGCTGTATTTTCTGAGGCCCTCACTCTGTCCTGGGCCTCTTTTGTACAGATGACAGTAATTTGACTATGCTTATTTAATTTCCATCTAATCCATCTAATCATCTAATGTGTTTTCCTTACCCAACGGGAGTGCCTTACACAGTACAGTGCATTCATGCTCAGAGTGCAGCTCAACCATATTCGTTTTACCCAGTGTTTAATTTTTAGAAATAACCTAAAAGTATTCATATCCAATATCCAGTCATTAATGTCCTACAGACTACCCCAGAGAGAGGGAGAGCTTTGGCTTTCATAAACCCCTGTTCATGAATATCAGCAGTGTTTATTTATTTTTAATTCAACCTCCCAACTTTTCTTCCTTCCTTCTTGCCTGTTGAGTTCAGCTTGCGGAGAGTGGGGCGGACGTCATCATCAACTGCACAGGAGTGAGGTCAGGGGACCTCCAGCCTGACCCAGAGCTCACACCAGGCCGTGGGCAGATACTGAAGGTAAGAGTGCAAAGGTTGAAAGGTGAGTTTGGCAATTACAAAGGGGACATGGCTGATTATGTTCCTCTTAATCTGTCTGTGTTTCAGGTGGATGCTCCATGGCTTAAGCATTGGATCCTCACCCACAATTTCACTGCTGGAACCTACAATTCACCATACATTATACCAGGGTAAAGTGGATAAAATATCAATAATTCCACCTACTGCAGGTGTCAATAAAGCAGTTATTACACATTTTTCAAGCTGTTGCATATAATTACAGCATCAAAGTATACGTTTGCCGAAGTATTCCTCCCATGTACTCTGTGTGTTTTTTATTTTGGAATACAGTGAATTGAAGCCTAAGACCTTATGCCCGGTCTCTGTAGGAGTCGTTCAGTGGTTGTTGGTGGGTGTTTCCAGCTGGGGAACTGGAGTGAGCAGAACAACTCTGAGGACCACAAGAAGATCTGGGAGGGGGCCTGCCAGCTGGAACCCAGCCTCAAGGTCAGAAGTCACAGACCATTGAAAAGGTCCCTGATCTGACAGACATCGAATAGAGGGGTCATCACAGCACCTACAGTTGAAGTCTGAAGTTTACATACACCTTAGCCAAATACATTTAAACTCAGTTTTTCACAATTCCTGACATTTAATCCTAGTAAAAATTCCCTGTCTTAGGTCAGTTAGGATCACCACTTTATTTTAAGAATGTGAAATGTCAGAATAATAGTAGAGAGAATTATTTATTTCAGCTTTTATTTATTTCATCACATTCCCAGTGGGTCAGAAGTTTACATACACTCAATTAGTATTTGGTAGCATTGCCTTTAAATTGTTAAACTTCGGATAAATGTTTCGGGTAGCCTTCCACAAGCTTCCCACAATAAGTTGGGTGAATTTTGGTCCATTCCTCCTGACAGAGCTGGTGTAACTGAGTCAGGTTTGTAGACCTCCTTGCTCGCACACGCTTTTTCAGTTCTGCCCACAAGTGTTCAATAGGATTGAGGTCAGGGCTTTGTGATGGCCACTCCAATACCTTGACTTTGTTGTCCTTAAGCCATTTTCCACAACTTTGGAAGTATGCTTGGGGTCATTGTCCATTTTGGAAGACCCATTTGCGACCAAGCTTTAACTTCCTGACTGATGTCTTGAGATGTTACTTCAATATATCCACATAATTTTCCTTCCTCATGATGCCATCTATTTTGTGAAGTGCACCAGTCCCTCCTGCAGCAAAGCACCCCCACAGCATGATGCTGCCACCCCCGTGCTTACATTTTACATTTTAGTCATTTAGCAGACGCTCTTATCCAGAGCGACTTACGCTTCACGGTTGGGATGGTGTTCTTCGGCTTGCAAGGTACCCCCTTTTTCCTCCAAACATAATGATGGTCATTATGGGCAAACAGTTCTATTTTTGTTTCATCAGACCAGAGGACATTTCTCCAAAAGGTACGATCTTTGTCCCCATGTGCAGTTGCAAACCGTAGTCTGGCTTTTTTATGGCGGTTTTGGAGCAGTGGCTTCTTCCTTGCTGAGCGGCCTTTCAGGTTATGTCGATATAGGACTCGTTTTACTGTGGATATAGATACTTTTGTACCTGTTTCCTCCAGCATCTTCACAAGGTCCTTTGCTGTTGTTCTGGGATTGGTTTGCACTTTTCGCACCAAAGTACGTTCATCTCTAGGAGACAGAACGCGTCTGCTTCCTGAGCGGTATGACGGCTGCGTGGTCCCATGGTGTTTATACTTGCGTACTCTTGTTTGTACAGATGAACGTGGTACCTTCAGGCATTTGGAAATTGCTCCCAAGGATGAACAAGACTTATGGGAAAATCAAAAGAAATCAGCCAAGACCTCAGAAAAAATATTGTAGACCTCCACGATGTCAAGCAAAGATGCACTGAGTTTGAAGGTAGGCCTTGAAATACATCCACAGGTACACCTCCAATTGACTGGAATTTTCCAGGCTGTTTAAAGGCACAGTCAACTTACCCACTGGAATTGTGATGCAGTGAATTATAAGTGAAATAATCTGTCTGTAAACAATTGTTGGAAAAATTACTTGTGTCATGCACAAAGTAGATGTCCTAACCGACTTGCCAAAACTATAGTTTGTTAACAAGAAATTTGTGGAGTGGTTGAAAAACCTAAGTGTATGTAAACTTCTGACTTCAACTGTATGTTGAAATGGCTCAGCCATCAAACAAAATCAATGCTTCTCATCCAGTACACAGAATACAGGTACAGATACAGAATAACTACATTAGCTAGCTCCTCCCTGTCTGTTTATTCATATGGCTCACCCCCCTCTGTCTCCTCAGCATGCCCGGATAGTGGAGGACTGGTCAGGGCTCAGGCCTGTTCGCAGTAAAGTTCGACTGGAGAGGGAGACCATGCAGTCTGGACCAACCACGTTTGAGGTGAGCCACCAAGAATAGACTGGTTACTACTTCTTCAGTAACCAAGATGTATTGTCTGGCTATTACATGCTGAACACACCGCTCGCGTCGCGTGCGCGAGCATTGCAAAATAAATGTACACATACATGTTATTCAATCATTGCACCCACACTGCTGGCGCGCGTCAACGAGCGTCTGCGTAGCCAGGCGCTAAAATAGAACTTGGTTGAATTTGTGACGCTTGACGCATTGCAAGTCCCACCTCTCCCATCTCCTCGTTGGTTTTTAGGAGCATATACCCATGTGGGGGATTGAAAGATGAACTGAGGTATACACTCCAGTCCAGTTGGTGGTGGTAATGCACCTTAAAGTTGGTTGCCAACCGCCATATAAAGTCCAAAGAAGAAGAAGCCTGAAGGAGGAGAGATTACTAGAAACTGACTCTGTTTACCCTTATCTGTGGATTAATTGTCGGAGTAGAGGACCTTATGCATTTCAGGTAAAATAACAACCCAATGTTTATATCCCAGGATAAATGTTTAATGCTTTTCGAGCTGTCCCCAAATTAATATAGTTGGTTCAGAGTTCATTTAGATTTTTCAACCTGCGTGTCCTGATCGCGTCTGGTGTGGGTGGACAAAATCAACATACGCGTGATGGCGCACACGCGGTCTGGTCAGCATGTTAGTGTTAGTCACCATTTAGGCTCCAGATTAGAAGTACAGTGAGGGGGAAAAAAGTATTTGATCCCCTGCTGATTTTGTACGTTTGCCCACTGACAAAGACATGATCAGTCTATAATTTTAATGGTAGGTTTATTTGAACAGTGAGAGACAGAATAACAACAAAAAAATCCAGAAAAACGCATGTCAAAAATTTTATAAATTGATTTGCATTTTAATGAGGGAAATAAGTATTTGACCCCTCTGCAAAACATGACTTAGTACTTGGTGGCAAAACCCTTGTTGGCAATCACAGAGGTCAGACGTTTCTTGTAGTTGGCCACCAGGTTTGCACACATCTCAGGAGGGATTTTGTCCCACTCCTCTATGCAGATCTTCTCCAAGTCATTAAGGTTTCAAGGCTGACGTTTGGCAACTCGAACCTTCAGCTCCCTCCACAGATTTTCTATGGGATTAAGGTCTGGAGACTGGCTAGGCCACTCCAGGACCTTAATGTGCTTCTTCTTGAGCCACTCCTTTGTTGCCTTGGCTGTGTGTTTTGGTTCATTGTCATGCTGGAATACCCATCCACTACCCATGTTCAATGCCCTGGCTGAGGGAAGGAGGTTCTCACCCAAGATTTGACGGTACATGGTCCCAGCTGCCTTGAGATCATTGACAAGATCCTCCCATGTAGTTCTGGGCTGATTCCTCACCATTCTCATGATCATTGCAACTCCACGAGGTGAGATCTTGCATGGAGCCCCAGGCCGAGGGAGATTGACAGTTCTTTTGTGTTTCTTCCTTTTGCGAATAATCGCACCAACTGTTGTCACCTTCTCACCAAGCTGCTTGGCGATGGTCTTGTAGCCCATTCCAGCCAAGTGTACAATCTTGTCAATGTTGTCCCTGACATCCTTGGAGAGCTCTTTGATCTTGGCCATGGTGGAGAGTTTGGAATCTGATTGATTGATTGCTTCTGTGGACAAATACTTTTTTACAGGTAACAAGGTGAGATTAGGAGCACTCCCTTTAAGAGTGTGCTCCTAATCTCAGCTCGTTACCTGTATAAAAGACACCTGGGAGCCAGAAATCTTTCTGATTGAGAGGGGGTCAAATACTTATTTCCCTCATTAAAATGCAAATCAATTTATAACATTTTTGACATGTGTTTTTCTGGATTTTTTTGTTGTTATTCTGTCTCTCACTGTTCAAATAAACCTACCATTAAAATTATAGACTGATCATTTCTTTGTCAGTGGGCAAACGTACAAAATCAGCAGGGGATCAAATACTTTTTTCCCTCACTGTACATAGACATAATACTGATATTAATGTGCTGTTTTCAGTTGATCCACAACTATGGCCATGGAGGATTCGGATTGACCATCCACCGAGGCTGTGCCCAGGAGGCAGCTCGGCTCTTCGGGGAGATATTGGAGCTGAAGGGCTGGGGGCCCAGGTCTCATTTGTAAACTAGTGGTTTATTACCTAAACAGCAGTAGCATCAGTATCTCACACAGGTCTGTATGGGACCATTTTAACATCAGAATGGTTTGCGAAGGAACCCGCATAGGAGGACACTCCTGGGGCCTTCAGACAACAATGAGGGTTCATTCATATTTGCAAGAGAACAACTACCTGATTAACCCGAGACCAGCTAACTTGGAACACAAAGACTACCAGCCACCCTTAAAATGGTTTCATGCCAGCCATCAGGATTGCTTTTATTGAATGCCAATTTTCTTTGTTGTGTAGTCATAACTATTAGCTAATAGATTTAAATCTATTTTGAAAAGTTAAGATTTTATATTGTAGTTAAAGAGATGCTAGTATATAGATAACATATTGAACCAATAAAATGTTTTCCAAAAATGTGATAAGCAAATCTCACATGTGACATAAAAATAGGACTGCAATATCAAACTAAGATTTTAAATATCTTATTAATAATAATATTCTATTGTGATTTCTAAAACTTATGAGGTTTGAAAATGAATTAAGAAATAAATACTTCCACAATCCAACATTCTCCTTTTTTGAAACTTAATTTATTGTTGTATCATACACATTTACATCCAGTGTAGTGAGAAGAATCTGTGCACAGACAGTTTTAATGCGGTACTAAATCGCAATGGCAGGCATGTAGGAAACAGCTTGCTGGACAAGTCCAAGGTTCTTTACCATTTTCAACAACACCTTGTTTCACGTGTTACTTTTACAACGGGACAAAGTCCATCCCCGCACCACCTCACCAACAAACAACAACAACCAAACCAGGTATTGGTACAGTATATACAGAGATGACTTTTGCCCAGTAAGCAAAAGCTGTGCCAGTCCAATACATTTTTGTGTCTGTTATCATTATTGTTGAGTGTTCTGTGTTTAATATGTGAATTCAGATTAACATGATGTTTAGTATTCACAGCCAGGCATGGGGTGTACCCTGAAAAAACATGTGATTATGTTTGCTTTGAATGATTTCACCCATGTAGAATAATTACTACTGTACCAGACTGACAACTTTGGGTGAATAAGAGGTGAAAGTATAGTACGGTTCAAAGATTTCAGTAGCACTTCAGTTTCATGGCATATAAAGCCTTCAACATGCATATATAAGCATTGTAACACCTGGCATGAACTTTCATCAGTACCCATCTGCAATTTCCCTAATTTACATAAACCATAGTCACTGTGAGACATAACATTAAGACAGACTAGAATATGAGCGCTAATGAATGCTTATGCCAGCTGCACAGAGAGACTTTATGATTGCCTCACTTATATGTTTTTAAACTGAAGTGTAACTGAGATTTGGCTGATGGTTACCGTGGTGATGGGGACCTACAGACAACCCAATATGTACAGATTTGATTATGTTAAGTGGGTAATTACGGTAACATTAGATAGCAATTTGTTACATGTCATTATTTTCATTATAGCTTTGCACAAGATAATGGACTTTTGGGGATGTTCAAAGCAGCTGCCCTTTCATTAATCAAAAGTCCTCAATTTGTCTCTCATTCAAAACTGAGTAGTAGGACCTGAGTAGGACCATTGCTTTTATGATCTCTTAGAGGAAACAATGCAACATATCAATGTCCTCTATCACTCTCTTTTACCATCACTCTCGCTGTTCTTCTCCCTCACAATATGACTGTAAAATTCAAATACTGAGCTGGAAGAATGACAATCCCACCCTGAAAGGTTTTTCTCCCTGCCACCATCCAGTGTACACTCTGAATACTCCATTGAGCTCTGTCTCATTCAGTGTGGTTATCGTACATTAGCAAAAATCATGGTAGTGGTCGAAGATTAAAATCAGAGAGAAATGTTTTTGAATAACATTTTGCTGGCAGGCTCTCTCAAGCCACTGTGGTTCCTATATACAACACATTTGAGTTGAGAATGAACAAGGGTTGCTTGCCTAGCTTCCTTCTCCTTCATTGCCCCTCTCTTCCACTCCAGCCTCCCTCCTCCACCACCTCCTTGCCTGTGTTCAGTCCTCCTGGGACCCAGAGTCGGAGTGTGGGATGCCCCCAGAGCTGTTGGCATGGGCCCGGCCCATCATCTCCTGGCCCCACTCACGGTGGCTGGACTCCTGGAGGCCCCGGCCAGTGGTCTCAATGGGCAGAGCACAGGAGGCGATGGCAGCCAGCAGGCAGCAGATGCTGTACACTGACAGAGTCAGGTACACAGAAGACTCCAACATCACCTGCAGGACAGGGAGGAGAAATGAAAACAGTATCACCAGCCCCTTTGCAGTAGGCTGTGTCTCTCTGTGAAGGTGTGACTTTCTTTCAGTACACATTAAGTACAAAGCAAATATACTTTATATTGGTTGTGGTAACATAAAAAATAAAATAAAACATTTTACCTGTGCAACAAAGGGTGTGATGAGGGCTCCCACTCTGGCCATTCCACTACTAGTGCCCAGACCTAATGCTCTGGTTGCTGTTGGATATACCTAAGGAGTCAGGAGAACACCATAGGAATACATAATTCATAAACATTCAGGACAGACACGTCAAGTGGTTTACACAAAGGGGAATGTCCATTTCACGCCTTATTTGCATTTACAGTATGATTTAGTTTGTACCATATTGACACTTATTAGAAACCAATGGGGAAGAAGAGTACGAAGCAAAGAACTAGTCCTTCGTTTAGTCACAAACCTATCAAAGAAATACAACTGAACAGAAAGCTGATGTCTGAAATGTAGTATAATCTTTAAGCCATACATTACCTCAAGACATAGTTATACAATAACAGAGGAAGAGGCAGAGCTAGTGTTTGATCTGGTTAGATATCAAAGTAGTGTTTGGCCACATCCATACCTGTAATCAAGGCCAAGTCAGCTTTGTTTTTAGAGTAAGAGCTGACGTTCTATAGAGTTGATAATGTAGCCATGGAGTACATGTGGTTCCATGGCCGATCACCTCACCTCAGGGGTGTAGACATAAGCAGCCTGGAAACCTCCTGCGATGAAGGCCCTGGCGATGAATATTAATACTGTCAGCCAGGTCCTGGAGCAGAGACAACAACACTGTTAATAACAACAACAACAACAACAACAACACTGTTAACAACAACACTGGTAATAACAACAACACCGTTAACAACAACACTGTTAATAACAATAACAACAGCACCGTTAACAACTTTGTTAATAACAACAACAACAACACTGTTAACAAGCACACTGGTAATAACAACAACAACACCGTTAACAACAACACTGTTAATAATAACCACAACAACACCGTTAACAACAACACTGTTACTGTGTTGTCAGTTGTGGACCCACCACAGTGTGATGTTTGTCATGTTACACTTGAGAGTAGTACATTACTAATACTAGTGGTAATAACTCTGTAATGGATGGTCTTACCTCCCTACACAAGCGTAGAGTGGAACAAGGCAGAGAGAGAAGACAAAGAAACACAGTGCCATGGTCTTCCTCCTTCCCAGCCGATCGATGGCCCACAGAGTCACCAGCAGGCCTGCCCAACATTAATACATCAACCAATTTATTCAGATATTCAACTAGTCTTTCTTATGGATCAGAACAATTTACAACCTACTTTACTTCACAGTACACTGCTCCCCATACAGCAATCATTGTGTTTAGCAATATTCTGACTGAGTTGAGGTTGAAGAAGTATACCTGGGAATTCAGACAGGGTGGTCCACAGCAGATCCTTGTAGTCGTCTGAGGTCAGGTATTTACACTCCAGGCTACATCTGGGCTCCCTCTTACTAGCTTTTGACTCTAGAGGGAGACATAACACAAGAAACACATGATGCACCGGTACTCACTACAGACCTCCAGAATCACAAGATCCTGAAATGGCCTTGAGACTTACAGTGAGCGTAAAAAACATTAGAAACAACTGCTCTGTCCATGACATAGACTGACCAGGTGAATCCAGGTGAAAGCTATGATCCCTTATTGATGTCACTTGTTAAATCCACTTCAATCAGTGTAGATGAAGGGGAGGAGACAGGTTAAAGAAGGAATGTTAAGCCTTGAGACAATTGAGACATGGATTGTGCCATTCAGAGGGTGAATGGACAAGACCAAATATTTAAGTACCTTTGAACGGGGTATGGTAGTAGGTGCCAGGCACACCGGTTTGAGTGTGTCAAGAACTGCAACGCTGCTGGGTTTTTCACACTCAACAGTTTCCCATGTGTATCAAGAATGGTCCACCACCCAAAGGACATCCAGACAACTTGAGAACTGTGGGAAGCATTGGAGTCAATAAGGGCCAGCATCCCTGTGGCACACTTTCGGCACCTTGTAGAGTCCATGCCTTGAGGAATTGAGGCTGTTCTGAGATCAAAAGGGGGTGCAACTCAATATTAGGAAGGTGTTCCTAATGTTTTATACACTCAGTGTATATGCTAATGTAACCTGAGGTCAACAGGAGCTATTCTTGGTTGAAGTATGACTCAAATATCCTGTTTTTAATTGTCAAGATGACATGTTAATTGTATGTCGGAAATTACCTTTGCCTGTTTTGTTCTCCCATTACGCTAAGAATTAACTGATGAATAAGATTGTTTGGCCTCAGCAGATTAATGCTGTCCTTGAGAGTGTTTGTGTGAATGTTGCTAATGATGTCAGAGGAGAGGAGCAGTGACTCACCCCCACAGGCGCCCCCCTCCTGGAAGAGCTCAGTGGTGAGCAGGACCAGGCCATAGTAGGCAAATGCATTAGAGAACCTGAGACAGATAAAACACAGTGCTCAGTCAATCTAAGGATTCCCATAAGGAAAACTGGGTTAATTAAAGATGCAACTCTTATGAAGACATTTAATCAAAGTATGTAACAGAGCAGTACTGGTTATGTTTTAGAGATGTAGGAAAGTGGAAATTAGTCATCAGATGTGATGTACTAACTTTTAATTACCTGTATTTAGAAATAAAAAGTTTTTCTTTGTTAAAAGGGTTGAAGTTATTTACCAAATAAACCACAGCAGAATTGTGGTCCAGCGAAAATGCGGTGAGAAAAGATCCTGGATCTTCCCACGGTCCTCCTGATTGAAAAACAGTCAAGAAAAGCAACATGACAGATAAACTACTGAAACAAAACAAACTAAAACCATTTTAGTATGCCCTATTTGCATTACATGTGACCTGCCCTGTCTGGAACTGCGAGGAGTAACAGCCGAACCTACGTTGCTAGCTACCATGATTTGATTTGACAAAGACCAAAGCCGGCGGGAGTACCGTTGAGGACAGTGGTGTCTCTCTATCACAGGTGAAGGATCTTTAAAACTCTGGCTATATCCAGAAAAGCCAAAGTTCCAAAAGCTTGCCCTAAAATAGTGTATAAGAGATCATACAAAAGATTTTGCTGTGACTCTTATGTGGATGATGTTACAAATATTTGTTGGTCTGATGTGATTAATAAGGACCATCCAGATGCTGCACTTGATGAATTTATGAAATTGCTTCTTCCAATTATTGATAAACATGCACCTGTTAAGAAACTGACTGTTAGAACTGTTAAGGCTCCATGGATTGATGAGGAATTGAAAAACTGTATGGTTGAAAGAGATGGGGCAAAAGGAGTGGCTAATAAGTCTGGCTGCACATTGACTGGCTGACTTACTGCAAATTGAGAAATTATGTGACTAAACTCAACAAAAAGAAGAAGAAACTGTATTATGAAGCCAAGATCAATTATATAAAGAATGATGGGAAAAAAACTTCTGAATACTTTAAATGAAATTATGGTCAGAAAGACAAATTCAACTCCATCTTTCATTGAATCAGATGGCTTATTCATCACAAAACCATTTGATGTTGCCAATTATTTTAACGATTACTTCGTTGGCAAAGTGGGCAAATTAGGCAGGAAATGCCAACAACGTACAGTGAGCCATCGTATTCATGCATAAAAAAACAAATAATGAAAGAAAAGCATTGAAAGTTTGAATTTTGTAAAGTTAGTGTGGGAGAGGTGGACAAATTATGGTTATCGATCAATAATAGAAACTTAGATGGAAAGCTAAGGAGGGTAGCTGACTCTATAGCCACTCCTATCTGTCATATCTTTAATCTGAGCCTAGAGGAAAGTCTTTGTCCTCAGGCCTGGAGGGAAGCCAAAGTAATTCCGCTACCCAAGAGTGGTAAAGCGGCCTTTACTGGTTCTAACAGCAAACCTATAAGCTTGCTGCCAGCTCTTAGCAAACTGTTGGAAAAAATGGTGTTTGACCAAATACAATGCTATTTCTCTGTAAACAAATTAAAAACAGACTTTCAGTATGCTTATAGAGAAGGGCACTCAATATGTACTGCACTGACACAAATGACTGATGATTGGTTGAAAGAAATTGATAAAAAATAAGATTGTGGGAGCTGTACTGTTAGATTTCAGTGCAGCCTTTGATATTATTGACCATAACCTGTTGTTGAAAAAAGGTATGTGTTATGGCTTTTCAACCTCTGCCATATCGTGGATTCAGAGTTATCTATCTAATAGAACTCTAAGGGTTTTCTGTAATGGAAGTTTCTCTAAAGTTTGGTGTACCGCAGGGCAGCTCTCTAGGCCCTCTACTCTTTTCTATTTTACCAATCACCTGCCACTGGCATTAAACAAAGCATGTGTGTCCATGTTTGCTGATGAATCAACCATATACAGTTGAAATCTGAAGTTTACATACACTTAGGTTGGAGTCATTAAAACTCATTTTTCAACCACTCCACAAATTTCATCTTAACAAACTATAGTTTGGCAAGTCGGTTAGGACATCTACTTTGTGATTGACACAAGTAATTTTTCCAACAATTGTTTACAGACAGATTATTTCACTTATAATTCACTGTATCACAATTCCAGTGGGTCAGAAGTTTACATACACTAAGTTGACTGTGCCTTTAAACAGCTTGGAAAATTCCAGAAAATGATGTCATGGCTTTAGAAGCTTCTGATAGGCTAATTGACATCATTTGAGTCAATTGGAGGTGTACCTGTGGATGTATTTCAAGGCCTACCTTCAAACTCAGTGCCTCTTTGTTTGACATCATGGGAAAATCAAAAGAAATCAGCCAAGACCTCAGAAAAAATGTTAAGACCTCCACAAGTCTGGTTCATCCTTGGGAGCAATTTCCAAACGCCTGAAGGTACCACGTTCATCTGTACAAACAATAGTACGCAAGTATAAACACCATGGGACCACGTAGCTGTCATACCATTCAGGAAGGAGACGCGTTCTGTCTCCTAGAGATGAACGTACTTTGGTGCGAAAAGTGCAAATCAATCCCAGAACAACAGCAAAGGACCTTGTGAAGATGCTGGAGGAAACAGGTACAAAAGTATCTATATCCACAGTAAAATTGGAGGCCCCTTACACTTCAGTGTTGTGATGCAAAAATCCTAGCAAAATGTATAGCGCATAGAATTAAAAAGGTATTGTTGGATATTATTCATTCTAATCAGACAGGTTTTTTACATGGAAGATACATTGGAGATAATAATAATAATAATAATAATATGCCATTTAGCAGACGCTTTTATCCAAAGCGACTTACAGTCATGCGTGCATAATTTTTTTTGTGTATGGTTGGTCCCGGGGATAGAACCCACTACCTTGGCGTTTCAAGCGCCGTGCTCTACCAGCTGAGCTACAGAGGACCACATAATATAAGGCAAGTATTGGAAACAATAGAACACTATGGAAAATATGGGAAACCAGGCCTGCTATTCATAGCAGACTTCGAAAAGGCATTTGATAAAGTTCGACTGGGGTTTATATATAAATGCCTGGAGCATTTCAATTTTGGAGAATCTCTTATAAAATGGGTCAAAATCATGTATAGTAACCCTAGGTGTAAAATAGTAAATAATGGCTATTTCTCAGAAAGTTTTAAACTGTCAAGAGGAGTGAAACAAGGTTGTCCACTATCGGCATATCTATTTATTGTGGCCATCGAGATGTTAGCTATTAAAATCAGATCCAATAATAATATCAGAGGATTAGAAATACAGGGCTTAAAAACAAAGGTGTCATTGTACGCTGATGATTCATGTTTTCTTTTAAATCCACAACTAGAATCCCTCCACAGCCTCATAGAGGATCTAGATACATTTTCTAACCTCTCTGGATTACAACCAAATTATGACAAATGTACTATATTATGTATTGGATCACTAAAAAATAAAAATTTTACATTACCATGTAATTTACCAATAAAATGGTCTGATGGTGATGTGGATATACTCGGAATACATATCCCAAAGGAAATAAATGATCTCACTTCAATAAATTTTAATAGAAAGTTAGCAAAAATAGATAAGATCTTACTACCATGGAAAGGAAAATACCTGTCAATTTGTGGAAAAATCACCCTGATTAACTCTTTAGTATTATCCCAGTTTACCTATTTGCTTATGGTCTTGCCTACGCCTAGCGAACAGTTTTTTAAATTATATGAGAAAAAAATATTCAATTTTATTTGGAACGGCAAGCCAGACAAAATTAAAAGGGCATATTTATATAATGAATATGAATTCAGAGGACAAAAATTATTAAATATTAAAGCATTAGACCTATCACTAAAAGCTTCAGTCATACAAAAGTTATACTTAAATCCGAACTGGTTCTCAAGCAAATTAGTAAGATTGTCTCACTCAATGTTCAAGAAAGGCCTTTTTCCCTTTATTCAGTTTTGTTTTGGTTCTGTCCATTTGTAGCTTGTTTTTGGACACAGGTCCAGGAATGGCTAAAGGATTGCAATATTTACCTGGAGCTAACCTTGCAGATAGCATTACTGGGTGATCTGAAAAGTCATAGTCAATCAATCAATAATATAATAATACTTTTAGCAAAAATGTTTATTTTTAATTCACAATCTGTAGAAGCAATGAGAATAGAAAGGTTCAGAACTTTTGTAAAACATCACAGTACGGTTGAAATATATATGGCAAATAGAAATCCTATATGGATGGTGTTAAGAGATAGATGGGAGGTATTGAATAGAGTTGAAGGATGGGACTAATAACAAATAACAACAAATAATAACAAAGATAGCTAATAATGTAAGCATACTGTGTCCATAATAAGTATATAGGTTGTATGTTGGGAGCTTTTGGGAAAGAGGACAGTTAGAAAGATATGGCATATAGAAGCAAACCGGATGGACATCATGAAAATGATCGGAGAGGTTGAGAGTAGAAGAAGTTCAGGAGCAAAAAAATATATACAGTGGGGAAAAAAAGTATTTAGTCAGCTACCAATTGTGCAAGTTCTCCCACTTAAAAAGATGAGAGAGGCCTGTAATTTTCATCATAGGTACACGTCAACTATGAAAGACAAAATGAGGAAAAAAAATCCAGAAAATCACATTGTAGGATTTTTAATGAATTTATTTGCAAATTATGGTGGAAAATAAGTATTTGGTCAATAACAAAAGTTTCTCAATACTTTGTTATATACCCTTCGTTGGCAATGACACAGGTCAAACGTTTTCTGTAAGTCTTCACAAAGTTTTCACACACTGTTGCTGGTATTTTGGCCCATTCCTCCATGCAGATCTCCTCTAGAGCAGTGATGTTTTGGGGCTGTCGCTGGGCAACACAGACTTTCAACTCCCTCCAAAGATTTTCTATGGGGTTGAGATCTGGAGACTGGCTAGGCCACTCCAGGACCTTGAAATGCTTCTTACGAAGCCACTCCTTCGTTGCTCGGGCGGTGTGTTTGGGATCATTGTCATGCTGAAAGACCCAGCCACATTTCATCTTCAATGCCCTTGCTGATGGAAGGAGGTTTTCACTCAAAATCTCACGATACATGGCCCCATTCATTCTTTCCTTTACACGGATCAGTCGTCCTGGTCCCTTTGCAGAAAAACAGCCCCAAAGCATGATGTTTCCACCCCCATGCTTCACAGTAGGTATGGTGTTCTTTGGATGCAACTCAGCATTCTTTGTCCTCCAAACACGACGAGTTGAGTTTTTACCAAAAAGTTATATTTTGGTTTCATCTGACCATATGACATTCTCCCAATCCTCTTCTGGATCATCCAAATGCAC